GGTTCTGAGTGAGTGTCCGTGAGGTTCCGAGTGAGAGTTTGTGAGGTTTCGAGTGAGTGTTCAGGAGGTTCTGAGTTTGTGTCCGTGAGGTTCCGAGTGAGAGTTTGTGAGGTTTCGAGTGAGTGTTCAGGAGGTTCTGAGTTTGTGTCCGTGAGGTTCCGAGTGAGTGTTCAGGAGGCTCTGAGTGAGTGTTCGTGAGGTTCCGAGTGAGTGTCCGTGAGGTTCCGAGTGAGTGTTCAGGAAGTTTCTGAGTGAGTGTCCGTGAGGTTCCGAGTGAGTGTTCGTGAGGTTCCGAGTGAGTGTTCAGGAGGTTCTGAGTGAGTGTTCGTGAGGTTCCAAGTGAGTGTTCGTGAGGTTCTGAGTGAGTGTTCGTGAGGTTCCCAGTGAGAGTTCGTGAGGTTCTGAGTGTGCTCGTGAGGTTCCGAGTGAGTGTGCTCGTGAGGTTCCGAGTGAGTGTTCGTGAGGTTCCGAGTGAGTGTTCAGGAGGTTCTGAGTGAGTGTCCGTGAGGTTTCGAGTGGGTGTTCGTGAGGTTCCGAGTGAGTGTCCGTGAGGTTCCGAGTGAGAGTTTGTGAGGTTCCGAGTGAGTGTCCGTGAGGTTCCGAGTGAGTGTTCAGGAGGTTCTGAGTGAGTGTCCGTGAGGTTTCGAGTGGGTGTTCGTGAGGTTCCGAGTGAGTGTCCGTGAGGTTCCGAGTGAGAGTTTGTGAGGTTCCAAATGAGTGTCCGTGAGGTTCCGAGTGAGTGTTCAGGAGGTTCTGAGTGAGTGTCCGTGAGGTTTCGAGTGAGTGTTCAGGAGTTTCTGAGTGAGTGTTTGTGAGGTTCCGAGTGAGTGTCCGTGAGGTTCCGAGTGAGAGTTTGTGAGGTTTCGAGTGAGTGGTCAGGAGGTTCTGAGTTTGTGTCCGTGAGGTTCCGAGTGAGTGTTCAGGAGGTTCTGAGTGAGTGTTCGTGAGGTTCCGAGTGAGTGTCCGTGAGGTTCCGAGTGAGTGTTCAGGAAGTTTCTGAGTGAGTGTCCGTGAGGTTCCGAGTGAGTGTTCAGGAGGTTCTGAGTGAGTGTTCGTGAGGTTCCAAGTGAGTGTTCGTGAGGTTCTGAGTGAGTGTTCTTGAGGTTCCCAGTGAGAGTTCGTGAGGTTCTGAGTGTGCTCGTGAGGTTCCGAGTGAGTGTGCTCGTGAGGTTCCGAGTGAGTGTTCGTGAGGTTCCGAGTGAGTGTTCAGGAGGTTCTGAGTGAGTGTCCGTGAGGTTTCGAGTGGGTGTTCGTGAGGTTCCGAGTGAGTGTCCGTGAGGTTCCGAGTGAGAGTTTGTGAGGTTCCGAGTGAGTGTCCGTGAGGTTCCGAGTGAGTGTTCAGGAGGTTCTGAGTGAGTGTCCGTGAGGTTTCGAGTGGGTGTTCGTGAGGTTCCGAGTGAGTGTCCGTGAGGTTCCGAGTGAGTGTTCGTGAGGTTCTGAGTGAGAGTTTGTGAGGTTCCGAGTCAGTGTTCGTGAGGTTCCGAGTGAGAGTTCGTGAGGTTCCAAGTGAACGTTCGTGAGGTTCCCAGTGAGCGTTCGTGAGGTTCTGAGTGAGTGTTCGTGAGGTTCCGAGTGAGTGTTTGTGAGGTTCCGAGTGAGTGTTCGTGAGGTTCCGAGTGAGTGTTCGTGAGGTTCCGAGTGAGTGTTTGTGAGGCTCCGAGAGTGAGTGTTCGTGAGGCTCCGATTGAGTGTTCTGAGGTTCCGAGTGAGTGTTCGTGAGGTTCTGAGGTTCCGAGTGAGTGTTCGTGAGGTTTCTAGTGAGTGTTCAGGAGTTTCTGAGTGAGTGTTTGTGAGGTTCCGAGTGAGTGTCCGTGAGGTTCCGAGTGAGAGTTTGTGAGGTTTCGAGTGAGTGGTCAGGAGGTTCTGAGTTTGTGTCCGTGAGGTTCCGAGTGAGTGTTCAGGAGGTTCTGAGTGAGTGTTCGTGAGGTTCCGAGTGAGTGTCCGTGAGGTTCCGAGTGAGTGTTCAGGAAGTTTCTGAGTGAGTGTCCGTGAGGTTCCGAGTGAGTGTTTGTGAGGTTCCGAGTGAGTGTCCGTGAGGTTCCGAGTGAGAGTTTGTGAGGTTTCGAGTGAGTGGTCAGGAGGTTCTGAGTTTGTGTCCGTGAGGTTCCGAGTGAGTGTTCAGGAGGTTCTGAGTGAGTGTTCGTGAGGTTCCGAGTGAGTGTCCGTGAGGTTCCGAGTGAGTGTTCAGGAAGTTTCTGAGTGAGTGTCCGTGAGGTTCCGAGTGAGTGTTCGTGAGGTTCCGAGTGAGTGTTCAGGAGGTTCTGAGTGAGTGTTCGTGAGGTTCCAAGTGAGTGTTCGTGAGGTTCTGAGTGAGTGTTCGTGAGGTTCCCAGTGAGAGTTCGTGAGGTTCTGAGGTTCCGAGTGAGTGTTCGTGAGGTCACCTGTCTCTGGAAGTTGAGCAGTCTGAGAGCTTTGAGCTCAATAGTAGCTTTGGTCCGCAGATCTCCAGCTAAAGACCCCGGGAGATTCTCCAGCTCCTGAATACGGTGAGTGATACGAGCTTCAAGCCTGCAGACACACAACAACACAAAGCGTCTGAAGAGCTGGTCCTTGGTACAAAAGAGTCGAGTCAAGTCAAGTCACCTTTATTTATATTTAAATAAATTGATTGTTTAATCAGATACAGATTGTTTCAAAGCAGCTTTACAGCAACTTACATTGCATTTTTTTCTTGGGAATCAAACCCATGACCTCGGCGCTGCTAGCAAAGCGCTCTCCAGTTTGAAGGGTGTTAGAGTCTCACCTGTACTCTCTCTCCTGCAGTATCTCAACCGGGTCCAGGCCGCAGGGCTTCTGGACGGGCGTGATGCGGTTCTGCTTCTGGTGCAGCGGCACCATGGTGTTGGGCTGGGGAGGGTGGGTCAGGTGACCTGGCGATTGGGTTTGCGGTGGCATGACTGGCGAGGCGGCCGGTGGCACCGACGGTGGAGCCGGTGAAGGGCGTCCCGTGGGCTGAGGAGCCATCAGCTTCTGAGGAGCATTCGAAGGAGTCGCTGCGTTCACCATCGGACCTGTCGCACAGGACATACATCACGACACTGCAAAACATGCCTTTCTTTCTCAGTGCTGTTGTCTTGTTTCTAGGGGTGTAACAATATATCGTGCCACAATATATCGCAATACAAAAATGCAACAATACGTATTGTGGATAGTGACAATATGTATCGTGGATAGTCCCCCCAAAATAAAAATTACTGTGTGAGAAAAAATTCAAGTTTTCAGAGTTTTAGTGTCATTACTAGATTAAACTACTATATATAATGTTGATTATAATGTATAATAATGCAATGTGGGAATATTTGTAAGTCCTGATAATGCCATATGTCTGATGTTACCAGTAAAAAGTGGCCGACATTATTTTAAATATATCTAGTCAGTGAAAGAGTGCATATTCATCTAAAATAATTCAGTATTTTCAGCTTCAGAATCTTGAATATTGTTATTCTGGTGTCTCTATTGTCCTTGGGTTACAAGCACCAAGTCCAAGCCTATTCATTTAAACCCACAATGTAATATCAAATTTAGCATTTTATTCAACAGTACATTTTTTGTTAACCTTTTACCATATGTCTTGGAGTATCGCAATAATTTAGTTTCGTGAGTTCAGTATCGTGATATGTATCGAATCGTGACATGAGGGTATCGTTACACCCCTACTTGTTTCAAGTCAAAATATCTAAAAAAAAAATTTAAATCAAGATGGATTTATTAAAGTAGTGAAATGCCATAAGATATTTTGTTTTGTTTTCTGGGGGGGAATCAAAATAAGTGATTTTTTTGCTTAAAACAAGCAAAATTATCTGCCAATGGGGTAAGAAAAATAATGTTAATTCAAACTCACTCATTTAGATTTTTTCCCCTAGAAACCTAAACATAATATCTAATGGCATTTTATTAATCTAGTAAATGCTTCTTGATTTAAGAATTGTTTGATATTTGGACTGGAAAATACTGAGTAAAGAAATATTTTTTTGCAGTGTAGGGCTGGGTATCGATTCAGATGTTTCAATTCGATTCGATTTTGATTTGCAAGCTTTCAATTCGATTTCGATTCTAAATTTGATTTCGAGTCGCGATTCGACTCAATTAATATAGATTTAATACAAATCCTATATTTATTAAAAGAAAAAGAACAGTGCACATAAGTTTACAAGTGGTTAATTTTTAAAAAGAAATTTAAAGAAATTAAACCTGTATATTAAACTCTTTATTTTAGGTACACTTGGGTACATTAAAACAGAAGCCAACTCTATATTTCAAATGCATACAATGATTAAACAGGATTTTGATGCAAGATGAAAAATTTATGCTGAAAATTGGACAAGTCAGAACAGTGGCATGCCTTGATCAAACAGGATCAGGTTAATTTACGTTTAAGATAAAACAGACTTTAGCATTAGCTGTAACATTTAGGCTCAAGCCTATGAACAGTGGAGGAAAACTAATACTGGCTTTGGGTGATAGATAAATAAATATGGAAAGAAATCGATTCGTGGCTTTTGTGAATCGATTTTGAATCAACCACATTTTAAAAAACGATTAATCGTGAAAAATATTTTTTTGCCCAGCCCTATACATCTCCACAGGCTGAAGCTCACGGATGCGCTCTCACCTTCAGCCCAGGGTTTGGGGGGTCCGTTGTGGTTCTGGCCCTGAACCCCAGCCGGGATTCCTGAAGGTCCAGGAGGAGGCATGTTGGGTCCCACCATCCCTGCGGAGCAACCGGCACAAACTAACCCTTTACTAAAGTCACCACAGACGACTGAATGTTCTCATGAACGACTACACCATTCAGAGGAGAACTGAGAAAAATACAGAAACGAGGTGGCCACACAGAACACAATTTTAAATTTAAAGACGACCTATACAAGATGTAAGTCTCAGGTTCCCCAGAATCAGAATGTGTCTGTGAAGTTTCAGCTCAAAATACCCACAGATCATGTATTATACCAAGTTGTAAATCCCCATTTGTGAGTGGAAGGAAAAAGGAAAAACATGCCGTTTCGTGCATGAATCTTTAAATGCAAATGAGCTGCTGCCCCGCCCCCTTTCCAGAAGAGGGCGGAGCCTTTCGTGCCTCGGATACTCTGCCAAAAACTAAATCATTGAATGAAGTGAACAAACATGAACAATCAAGTGTTTGCATTAAATAACATTCACAAACATTAATTAATGTTGTAAAAATATATTGTTCACTCAATGTGTTGATGTTAACACATTAAGTAATGTTAATGAATGGTATCTTATTGTAGTGTTACCAAACTATACAGGAGATAAAACATGTTTTATTTGACTTAACTGTAGCCTACTTTTATTTAATCCAAAACTGCAAAAAATTTCACTCTTTCCTGTCTTCAAAACTTGAGAACGCTGTAGCTGATTTCTAATGCAAGGGAATCAATGCTAGAAATCAATTAATTCTTTGCTGATACTTCCTCGTCATCACGGAGAGCGCAGTTTGCACCGCTTTCTCCTTCTCTCCACAAGCGCTCGCTCTCGCGTGTCTCCGCTATGCAACCATAAACAGTGACGCGCCTGGAAAAACAAGCTCGCACGTCGCTTCTATTATGAGCGCGCTTCCCGCGCGCTTACATTTGAAATTTGCACGCGCAAAAAACGTGCTATGTGAACGTGTGAACGGCCCTTTATGGCAACGTGACATTAGCCTAATTCAACATATTTCCATATGTGGCTCTTTCCTCCTTTCGTGTCAACAAGTGGATTCAGAGCCACCGCATTAGCAGCGCCGCCGGTCGCCATGTCTCAGTGTTTTTATGAAGAGGACGCAACTCTGCACCTTTCAGACAGCGCATCAAGAACCGGATTAACCCGGTACTCGGTACCTAGAAAAGCTGGTACCGTAACCGTTCATTTTTTTTAGTACCGACTTGGTACCGAAGTACCGAGTTTTTTGACAACACTAGTCCCGTGAGTATTAAACTAATCTCTTTCACGTCTTATTGCGCTTAAACGGTCAAATACACACAAGGTTATGTCAAAAACACAAAGTTCACATAAACACAGTAAAGAAATCACATGTGTATATTAGATCTAAAGTGAAAGCAGTGTAATATACAGGTCCTGCTGTTGATATGAATCAAACAACAAAAGAAAAACAGAAAATCACTCGCTGCTCTTGACTGAATAACTTTAGTAGCTTTAATAAGAATATTAAAATGTCTTACTTGAATGCCGCTGTTAAACGCTCTGGTGAGGAGATAAACATGGCAGACGGTGTACAGCTCACTGAGGGCGGGTCTACGCTAAAAGGGCGGAGTCTGTCCGAGTCATGGGCGGGGCCTAAGCAATGTGACATCACACTGTACAGAAACTGCAAACTAGAGGTCTGCACGGAGCACCCGAGACCCGAGGACCCAGACCAGCAAGTATGAGCAAATACCACTAAATAAAAATTTTTACTGAAAAAAAAAGAAAAAAGATACATGTCTGGTACTGTAACCGTGTCAAATCTCACCATGTCCTCTGCTGAAGCCGGCGCTCGCTCCTCCCCCCCCCGGGGTTAAGCTGGTCAGGGACGGTCCCGGTGGCATGCCTGGCATGGGCCGCTTGCCCTGCACTGCCATCTGCAGGTGTTCTGGGAGAGGCTGCCCGCGCGCCAGCATCTTATAGGCCATGATCTGCGCCCGCAGCTGGTGCAGCTGGCTCTGGTTGAAGGGTGTCGGGGGGGCCGAGGAGCTCGAGACGCTGGTGCCGGACACCGAGGCGGCGCTTTGGGTTCCCGGGCGGTTCTGGCCGTCCACACCCTCCAGCGAGGCCGAGCTGGAGCCGGTGGACAGGAGAGGACCTGATGGAGGCCCGCTGGTGGACATGGGACTGGACACGTGTTCTGAAGCGCCCAGCGGAGACGGGTATCCTGAGGGACGAGACGAACAGATCGATCGGCAAAAACAAAACACTGTTGTGACAAGAAAAATGTGTTATTTATATATTATAAAATATGTATATTTATATATAATATAAATTATATAGTGACAGTGTATATACATGCAAATATCTCTTAAATATATATATGCATGTGTGTGTATTTATATACACAAAAATAATTATAAACACACACATGTATTATGTAAACACAAACTTTCTTTTTGGATGAGATTAATCGTTGCCCAGCACTAGTTTTTATAAATTTTTATTAAGTTTTAGTTACTTTAGTACATTAAACTAAGTTAAACTAAATTAAAATGAGAAATAAAATAATTTTTTTATTTTACGTTTATTATATTTAAAATTTTTTATGGTTTCAATTTCAGTTTACTATAATAAACCAGATGTAAAGGAGGAGTTTTTGTAATTTTGTGCCATTTTGTTATTTTTATTAGTTTTTTTTAATATGTCTATATAGTTTTTATTACATTTTAGTTATTTTAGTACATCAAGTTAAAGCGGTGGTATAATGCCCTTTTCACAAGATGTAAAAAAAAGTCTCTGATCTCCCCAGGGTGTGTGTGAAGTTTTAGCTCAAAATACCCACAGATATTTTTATATAGCATGTTAAAGTTTATATAGCAAAAACGCACCGTTTTTTGTGTGTGTCCCTTTACATGCAAATGAGCTGCAGCTCCCGACACAGGGGGCGGAGCTACAAGAGCTTGTGTGTGTGTGTGTGTGTTAGCAGCTCCGATTCTCTCACACAGACACACACTGCAGTGTTTCCCCTAGGATTTTTTTTTTCAGGGGGGGGGGGGGGGGGGGGTGCGTGTTATGGATACATGGTGTAATTTTTTTTTTGCAATCAAAAAGCATGTCTAATTAATTGAAATCATGTATTATGAATCATTAAACTTATACTTTTTTTTATATATATATATGAAAAAAAAATTCACACTTATTCTGTGTTGTGTTTTTTCTGGTAATAAAATGAAGACATAAAACACAAATTGTATCATTTATCATCAATTTCAATCATATGAAATGAAATAAACTTTTTGTCAAATAACTTGCTGCACGATGAGCTTTACTGTTAAAATTAAAACATGGATTATTCCTTAAAAATTTCAGTTTTGATGATAATTTATTTGGATTAGTGTTAGTGTATTATTACATTGGGACATATCTAAATTCTAATGTACAACAGTAATATATTTCTGTCAGTTTAAACCGAACTTTTATTTTGACGGGTTGCCGTGAAGACCGTTTGAGTTTCTGTGTGTTTACTGTTTACACAGTCTATGGTTTATGTCATGATGACAGTTTTTCTCAAATGAAGCGTGAAGTGATCACGAAGAGTGGATCTAGAGCCTGGAGAAGAAGTTTATGCATTTGTGTCTTCATATAGGCCAAAAAACAGCGCAGGCGTCACACGTGCTTCAGTGTGTGTGTGTGTGTGTGGTAAATGAAACTGCGCGTCGGCGGCACCATTCATTCACACAGAACATGCAGGGTTCGTATTTAAATAGTCGTTGTGTTTTAATATTCACACACACTAGTCTACATCGCGATTTGATTTCAAGTGTACTGAACTGCTTTCTATTTTTTCCTCTAATTTACAAGTTCCGTGAAATTCCGGGTTATACACTAAATTCCTTTTTTATGACTGGATTTCGTCAGCATTTTAGGGGGGCGGGGGGTCGTTTTGGGGGAAACACTGCACTGAAAAAACTTTTAGCCTTTTATGTTCAAACCGGAGTCAGACAAAGATGGAGAGACTCGAGAAACAGGACATTTCTGAACGGTTAGTTGATGAATTTCTATATCTTATGTGTAGTTATCTTCTAGTCACTGATTCGCATATTCTGTCTTGATAATCTATAAATCGCGTTCCCGAGGGCGGGTTTATGTAAATTTTAGGGTTCATGATGTCACTAACCCGGGAGGAAGCTCGTGTAGTTCCTACCAGCCGTTTGTTGTAGTCCTTAAAGCAATTTCTTTAAAAGCAAATCTCTCCCTTTGCTTTGAACTTTGAGCGTTGTAACTTTGCAGATGTTGTTTATGCTCAAACAGCAACATTACACACTCACTAGAGTTAAAAAAGTGAAATCATAATCAACCACCCTTTAAACTAAACTAAAATGAGAAATAAAAGAAGTTCAATTTTTTTATATTTAATTTTACATTAATAATATGTATATGAGTGCGATCCGGGACCTTGCGAGTGCTGGTCCATCGGGCTCCCAGGACGGGTCATCCTCATCGGTACCACCTTCATCTGACTGAAGCGAGCGTCTTCTGAAAGGCTCTCCTCCACAGGCTTCAGGACAAACACAAACATTAACATTAACCCTCAGACCGGATTTACCACAGTAAAACATTTAGAGTTATTGAGCTTTTCACCTTGTGCATCTGATGCAAACTCTCCTGGCTGTATCCCGCAGATGTTTGCTGAGGAAAGGAGTGTCCCGTGGAAGTGGCCGGTCCGGGACTGGGGCCCATCATGCTGTGTGAGGATCCAGGGGACAGTCCTGAACCCAGAACGGCCCCGGGAGACGGGCCCGGGCCCGGCGAAGGCCCCGCACAGGGAGTCCCACCCAACGGGGGCTCTGGGGTGGACATGCCTCAGACTCACCCTGACACAACAAAAACATGTGACAAATGTGATTTCACTAGAATGTACATTTCCACAAGAAAATGTGAAGTGGTGCTAGCAGTGGCAAAACTCGCCAGTCGGTTGCTAGGGTGTGGTACATGATTGCATACGAGACAACAAACATGTCTGTACAATGTTCTGGTGCTGAGATATGGCTTATTCATGTGTTCAGGTGATTGCTAGGGTGTTCTGGGTGGTTGCTATGGTGTTGCTAGGCGGTTGGTAGGGTGTTCTGGGTGGTTGCTATGGTGTTGCTAGGGTATTCTGGGTGGTTGCTATGGTGTTACTAGATGGTTATTAGGGTGTTATGGGTGGTTGCTTTGGTATTCTGGGTGGTTGCTAGGGCGTTGCTATGGTATTCTGGGTGGTTGCTAGGGCGTTGCTAAGGTGTTCTGGGTGGTTGCTAGGACGTTGCTAGGGTGTTCTGGTGGTTGCTAGGGTGTTGCTAGGGTGGTTGCTATGGTATTACTAGATGGTTGTTAGGGTGTTCTGGGTGGCTGCTATGGTATTTTGGGTGGTTGCTAGGGCGTTGCTAGGTTATTCTGGGTGGTTGCTAGGGCGTTGCTAAGGCATTCTGGGTGGTTGCTAGGGCGTTGCTAGGGTGTTCTGGGTGGTTGCTATGGTGTTACTAGATGGTTGGTAGTTGTCACAGATGGTTACTATGGAGTTTTTACATAGTTCTTAAAATATTTTGTAACGAGTGCCTTTAGTACGAAAAAACATTCAAATGTGACATTTATGAACAGGCTTTGAAATTAACACCTGTCAAATCACGAGCCAATTTGGCAGGTTACTTATTTTATTATATTTAGTCGTGTAAGCCAAATCTGCGCAGATGTATATATAAGCTGTGATTTAGTTAAACTGGTTTATTATATTTTAGTTTATTTGGCTAGTAGAAGTTCTGAATGGCCGGTAACTTAAAGATTTAGTAGCCAAATTGGCCGGTGAGTGATAAAGTTAATTTCAAACCCTGATTATGAACTATTTATATAATGTTTTACATGACGGCTGCTCTGTCAGTGTGCTTTATGTTAGAGCTGGCTGTGATGACTTCTAAATACTTAAATAAAATATACTCATTCAAGCACAATTTATTTACATGACAAGACATTTTTTGTTTTTAAAGGGACAGTTCACCCAAAAATTTAAATTCTGTCATTATTTACTCACAGTCATGTTGTTCCAAACCTGTATGAGTTTCTTTCTTCTGTTGAACACAAAAGAAGATATTTTGAAGAATGTTGGTAATCAAACAGTTGATGGTAGCCATTGACTTCCATAGTAGGAAAAAAAATACCATGGAAGAAAATGGGTACGAATAAATGATGACAGAATTTAATTTTTTTGGGTGAACTGTCCCTTTAAAGTCCCCCTGTGGTGAAAATCCATCTTTAAATGTTGTTTATATGTCTATGTGGTGTTTTTAATACGCTTTAAGACACACCATGTGTAAGTTCATAAGTCGACAGCATTGCTGAGTATTTCCTCCTTAAAACTGCAGTGAACCAAAGACAGTCTCAAAAACACGGTTTGAAATCGCTGGTGTTTCTGACGTCACAAACGACCTTGTAACCAATCAGATCAACGTGTGATCGTCAACCAGTGGATCTCTGAGCTGAGTGAGTGAGTGGAGGCGGGGCTCATTTGCATATTCATAGAACCGCACATACTAAATGAGGCACGGGTGTCGAGTTACATTCAAGATATTTTAAGGCATGAAGAAAATTTGTTTTCAATGAAAAAAACATCAAAGATGAGTTTTAAAGGATAAAATGATTGACCACAGGGGGACTTTAAGAGACATTTTCTTAGTAAGATGGCTTCCAGAATCTTCTGGTCTCCATGATGCTTCATAACATGATCTGAAGACATTCTAAATTTAAGTGAATTACAGACAGTAACTCTGCTGGAAAAGCAGCTAAAAGCAGACTAGCTATGTCCTAAACACACAATTATAATGTTCTCATTGTAATTTTATGTAGTCGATATGACAGACTTGTGCTGTACATGTTGCACTGAACTGTATTTTCCATTTTGAAGTGATTTCAATCATATTTCAAGCTATTGAAAACCATCATGGCGAAACTGAAGTGTCACAGCTGAAGGAAATAATCCATTATTTTTGGCTTTATTATATCGGCCAAATTTTCTTATCAGGCCGACATCAATAACATTAAAAATGAACATGTATGGTGGCCGATATATCGTGCACACCTAAGAAAAATCACACTATAGTTTATGCACTTTCGACCAATGAATTTCCATATGATTTTATACAGATTGTCCTCACAAATAATCATTTTTATCCAATATAAGTTAATTGAGAGTTATTTTACACTAGGGGAAAAAATCATTATGGAAATTCCCATATGTATTGGTAACGTTATCCAGGCCTGGAAACCACATTTTTTCTAAATGCAGTGTATTGCACAGGTATTCTATGATGATATGATACTAATAATGATAAGGATCTATTGGTGTCAGATGATTAGACATGAGCAGATGATTCTGCAGAATGAACTCATGCCTGCCTCTGGAAACATCAAACAGCGCTTCATTATAGGAAAATAAGCCAAGCTTGAGCATTTAACAGGGAAATAAAATGTCGTCCAAAGCTCGAGCTCCTGGATGATCCTCCGCTGAACATCTGCACATCCACCGATCATCCGCTAAGATCAAACTCGCATGAAATACTGAGTCATATTGAAACACTGCGATAGAAATAATGACGTCAAGTGGGCAGACAGACTGAGGCTGTCGCGTTCACACCACTGAGATCAGCACGATCAGAATTCCTTGCCAGTTTAATCAGACTTACCCGCAGTATAATAAACGAGGCGGACGCGCTCGAGCTGATGACGGAGCCCACGGTGTGTTTAATTAACCGATCCGCGACATCCGTTCCGTTCATTCGGTTGATGTTCATGTACGGAGCGCCGCTGCGGACACAGAGCATCAAACGCTCGAGAGAGAGGGAGAGCGCGCGAGAGAGGGGGAGCGAGAATTTTAAATTATATATTTTTTTAATATTATATAAGTTATATTTGTCTGTTTTCCTTATCTGTGTTTTGCTGTTCACTAAAAAAAAAAAAAGCCCCAATAATTCTGGGTTGTTTCAATCCATGTTTGGGTCAAAAATGGATAACCGTTGGTTTACATTTTTAATCGTTGGTTAAAATTTTTAAATTACAATATTAAATCCAACGGATTTGACCCAAACATGGGTTGAAACAACCCAGCATTTTTGTTGAGTAAAAAGTCTGACCACACTCTAAAAGAAAAGGCACTTATGGGTTCCCATCATGGTATCATATATGGATTTAGTTTTAATGAATTAATTTAGTTTTAATTCTAATTACATTTTATGAATTAAACAGCTCTTAAACATAGCCTATATAATTGCTAGAAACAAACCCTGTTATATATAAAGTACTATCCAATCATTTAATACATTTTAAGAACTTTTTTTGGCATAAAGCGTTTTTTAGAATTGAGTAAAGAACCCATTTAACCTAGCCTGACTTCGTCATACTCATATTCTAGTCAGACTGTGAGTCTGATGCTGCTTCATAGGGCTTTGATTATGAGGCGTGTCTTAACCGAACCAGGAAAAAAAAAAACTCTGCACTCAATTGGATAGACCTACAACCAATCAGAGCAACGCAGTAAGTCAACTACTTTGCATAGCACAGTTGTCAACTACAGAACTCAAATGCACGCACGCTGGAAGAAGTAAAATAACGAGTGTTGCTTCTTTTACTTGGTCCTCTATGAGTGCGACCAAAGGAGAAACCACAACGACCACAGGGTTTTCATTGCGTCCCATCTTCTTAGTTACCATCGGAGCCAGCTGATAAATTAAACTTTTGCCGAATCCCGTAGGAAGGACGGCGGGCAAACACATCTTTCCGATCGACAAATGCCTTGATTGTAGTTCTATGTTCCTCTTTTAAAATGAATGCGCTGTCGATTTCTTTTACAACGGACGCGATAGCGGAATCTCTACATCTCAGTTCTCCAGCTGCAGTCATCTCTGAGGGAAACCAGTTCAACCCAAGCGCTCTTTGATAACGTGAGGATTACGTCCCTGCAGATCATCTGTCCATCATCGTATAAACCCCGCCCTGGCAATTAGATTGGCCCGACGATTTCTGAACCGATCATAATTACTCCTCAATTAAATGGAGCGAGTCCAGACCGAACTTCCCGATCAAAAAATGTTGTGGGCGGGGTTCGGGCTGGCACCCAGGCTACATTTAACCTCCACTGAACCTTGTTTTCTAACCTTTTTCCTCATTAGATGCCTTTACATGTCCACCAACAAATTAAATGTCAAAAACCTATAGGCCTAGATATATATAACTAACAAATATATTCCTATTTTTCATGCCGGGTATAACTACACTGGGACAGATGTAACACTATACTTTAGGCTTGCATTTAAGAGAAATATACTTTAAAATTTGTATGTTTACGAAAAATGTAACGTATCAATAGCCGATATAGTTCAGAATGTCTGTGACTTTATGCTCTTAAAGTCACCATGAATTCCTTGTTTATTAAATATTGCAGTGTTTATTATAAATTATCTTTTTTTTAATGTCTCATAATCTAGAAATCAGAATAAGTTCCTCTTGCAGCATCTCTTCTCTGGTGACGAGGGCGGGGCTATAACCTGTCACTCAGATGAGATCCACCAATAGCAAACCACAACCATCCAATCAATTCCCACAGACAAAATCAAGCCCCGCCCACATTTATTCTTGTTCGAGAGGCGGTAAGAAAAGACAAGCGGAACTTCCGTTTCATGCAGACTTTAACAATTTTCACAGAGGAGGGAGAACAGAAATACATTGTCCCACTTCCAACATCAGTTCAGTCAAAATCCGATGGCAGGGAAACATTCTGGATGGATGTATTCAGGGTTTGAATGACGGGTAACGCTGTTACTACTCATTGCAGTACACGAGATCCAGGGGGCGGAGTTGGATCCAGATCTAAGGGGTGGAGATGGGTAGGATTAGGGGTAGGGTGACCACCCGTCCCACTTTGTGTTGTACCGTACAGCATTTTCACCCCTTGTCCCGCACGTCGCAAATTGAGAAAATGTCCCGCATTGTCATCAGTCTGTTGGTTTTTAATTATCATATTAAGAAAACGTGCGTTCGTTCTTTTGCCTTTTTAAGAAAGCATTTTATTTACTCTTTTTGCGGCACAGTTTTTCACCTACAGCGCGTCGTCAGAAGTACAAATGCATCAGCGGTTTTTGAAATCCTATCCAATGGTTGTAAGGAAAGGAGTAAACACGGTCAGTGGTAGGTTGTGACGGCTGTCAATCAAAATGTGGAGCGGTGATTCGTTCCATGTGTTCCCTGTCAGAAAACAAATTAAAATTTCTAACAACTGGATATACTCAACTCTCTCTTCTCTATGCAATAAAAACTCGTTTGAATATCATGCAATTACTCTTACAAATCCCATTAGGATCCATATTGTAGCTATTTATCGCCCCCAGGTCAACTGGGAAGCTTTGTAGAGGAGCTGGATGTGCTGCTGTCCTCTTTCCCTGAGGATGGCATCCCACTTGTAGTCTTTGGCGACTTCAACATTCATCTAGAAAAGGCGTATGCAACAGACTTCATCTCTCTTCTAGCCTCATTTGATCTCAAACGGCTCATCGCCACAGGTACTCACAAATCAGGCAACCAACTGGACCTGGTTTACACACGCAACTGCATCCCAGACAACATTTTGGTGAAACCTCTCAACGTTTCAGATCATTTCCTCATTACTTTCAATCTACAGCTCACTACCCATGCTCCACCAACCTCCCCACCATTTACTTTCAGACGAAACCTGCGCTCACTTTCTCCTTCCCATCTTTCCTCTGCTGTGTCATCTTCACTTCCCTCACCCTCACAATTCTCATCTAGATGTGAATACCCCAACAGATACTTTATGCTACACTTTAACTTCTTCTTTAGACAATATCTGCCCTCTCTCCTCCAGGCCAGCACGCGCTACTCCCTCTAACCCCTGGTTATCTGAGGTTCTTCGTGAACACCGGACCGAACTCAGGGCAATGGAGAGGAAATGGCGCAAATCAAAAGGCCTTTCCTAACTGAGCATGCAACACAACTTCTCGTCCAGGCCCTGGTTATTTCTAGGCTTGATTACTGCAATGCTCTTCTGGCTGGACTTCCATCATGTGCAACTAAACCTCTACAAATGATCCAGAATGCTGCAGCTCATCTTGTCTTCAACGAGCCCAAAAGGGCCCACGTCACTCCGCTGTTCATCGCAAAAGCAGCAAATCAAAAGACACGTCTGACCTGAGTATGTTTCAATCTCTGCTCTTTGACTTTTCTGCTGATGTTCACGCTGCAAAATCTTCATATTTCCACAGCAAGATCAACACCGCCCCTAACACACGAACACTTTTCAAGACATTCAATTCTCTCCTCTGTCCACCTCCACCACCACCCACCTCCTCTTTAACTGCTGATGACTTTGCTAACTTCTTCACTAACAAAACAACCTCTATCAGCAGTCAGTTCTCAACTCCACACACACAGGAACCCAAACCATCCTCTCCCACTACCAGAAATCTTCTCTTTACCTTCTCTCCGCAAACCGAGGAAGAAGTATCTAAACTTCTCCTCTCCAGTCATCCTACCACCTGCCCTCTAGACCCCATCCCCTCACACCTTCTACAAGCCATCTCTCCCACACTTCTACCAGCTCTCACACACATCATCAACTCATCCCTGGCCTCCACACTGGCATTTTCCCTACAGCATTCAAGCAGGCTCGGGTAACTCCCCTGCTTAAAAAAACAACATTAAACACATCACTCTTAGAGAATTACAGACCTGTCTCTCTCCTACCATTCATTGCGAAAACACTTGAACGAGTTGCTTTCAACCAAGTGTCATCTTTCCTGTCTCTGACCAACCAGTTGGATGTCAACCAATCTGGCTTCAAGAAAGGCCATTCAACCGAGACTGCATTGCTGTCGGTCACCGAAGCCCTGCGGATCGCAAAAGCTGCTTCCAAATCTTCAGTTCTCATTCTGCTGGATCTTTCTGCTGCCTTCGACACTGTGAACCATCAGATCCTTCTGTCCACCCTCTCATCACTGGACATCAAAGGAACTTCCCTCCACTGGTTTGAGTCCTATCTCACAGGTAGGCCCTTCAAGGTCACATGGAGAGGTGAGGTATCCAAAGCACATCAGCTGACCACAGGGGTTCCCCAGGGTTCAGTGCTTGGACCGCTCCTCTTCTCCGTTTACACCACATCATTGGGACCCATCACACAGGCACATGGTTTCTCTTACCATTGCTATGCTGATGACACCCAGCTCCACCTCTCATTTCAACCAGATGACCCCACAGTAGCTGCACGAATCTCAAGCTGTCTGGCTGACATCTCGGCATGGATGAAGGAACATCACCTGCAGCTCAACCTGGCAAAGACTGAGCTTCTCGTCCTCCCTGCCAATCCGTCTCTACAGCACGACTTCACTATCCAGCTAGAGTCATCCTCAATCACCCCATCAAGGTCAGTCAGAAATCTTGGAGTAGTATTTGATGACCAGCTGACCTTCACAGACCACATTACAAAGACAGCTCGATCATGCAGGTTTGCAATGTATAACATCAGGAAGATCAGGCCTTTCCTAACTGAGCATGCAACACAACTTCTTGTCCAGGCCCTGGTTATTTCTAGGCTTGATTACTGCAATGCTCTTCTGGCTGGACTTCCATCATGTGTTACTAAACCTCTACAAATGATCCAGAATGCTGCAGCCCGCCTTGTCTTCAACGAGCCCAAAAGGGCCCACGTCACTCCTCTGTTCATCTCCGCTGTTCATCACCACTCGCTGCTCGCATCAAATTCAAAGCTTTGACGCTTGCTTACAGATCTACCACAGGTTCAGCTCCCTCCTAC